GCAATTTCACAAACCAAACTTTAAAAAAAAAAAAGCATAGATGTAAAGTGGGATTTCAAGACCAAATTAAATCCTGAAACATAAAGCAAAGCTAATAGCCAAAGGGTATTGTAACACCCAAAACTTTTTATTTTATTCTTATTGGAATTTTATTTGATTTTATTTTATTTTAATAAATGATAATTATATAGTTTTAATTTAATTTAATTTAAATGAATAGAAATAAAAATAATAATAATAATAATAATAAGAGATAAAATTATTTTTTGGATTTAATTGAAAATGATTTTGGGAAAAAAGAGTAAAAATTTGGATTCTGTGGGTGTTTTTGAAAATAAAATCGAAAACTGGAGGTCAAAACGCAATTTAAAAAATTGTGCCACGTCAGCAGCCACGTCAGCAGCCCGGTCAGCAGCTCCGGCCAACCAGGACACGCCGCGTGGTAGAGACACTGACGCGGAAAGGCCATGCGGAATGGGCCACGTGGGCGATCTGCATGCACGCGATCGGACAGCTGAGATCCGTTCCCACGTGCACAGACGGCACCCAGATTGCACGCATGTAGAAGACCCAGATTTGATCACGCACGGACGGCCCAGATCGCATCGCGATGAACGGTCTAGATTCATTTTTAATTTAATCGCGATCGGATGGTTCAAATTAAATCGTGATGGACGGCTCAAATTAAAAGAGAAAGGTTATAAATAATCTCATCCACACCCAACCCTAAACCCTATCTGCCAGAACCCTCGCCGGAAAAGACAACCCAGCCACCGGAGGAACCGACCGCCACCACCCGCCGCCGCACCGGAGCACCTTCCAGCCGCCAAACGAGGTAAAATTTCTCCCATTGACTCGTTTTTCGATGCTGAACCTCCCTGTGGCCCAATCGGATGCTGAAAAATACCGCCAAAGCCCAGCAGCGCCACCGCGAGTTCCTTCGATTTTTGCCTCCGATGAGGCCCTTCCCAGTTCCCGTTCGATGTAATTTTTACATCACTGTGACCACCATCCTTTTCTTTACAGGTTGACCGGAGCAAAATACCAAATCGCAACTTGTGCCGGAGGATTCGCCACACCCGAGTGCTCTGCCGCCAGTAAGTCTCAGTTTTCTGTAATTTTTTAGCCCACCGAGGGCTCTAGGGGTGTTTTATCATAGGAACCAATGCAAGTTTGACCGAATTCGGCCGAAAACGGCCAACCCGAGGTGGATCGCCGCCGCGCCGGAATTCTGGAATTAGCCAAATAGGCCCTGGGTCTTATTTGGGATTTTTTGGGGACATGTGCAGGTACCGGAAGTGTGTTTCAGTTTCTGGAGAAAAAATTCAAGGAATCTAGGGACTGTCCGTAGGCGCAGTGAGAACCTGATTTCAGACTACCAAACAAGTAAGGATCCCTCACCCTATTTCCTATCACGACATTAAAGCTTAATAAATGATAAAACGGTATTTTATGAATTAATAGATATGTATAATTAATTAAGATTGCTAATGGAGTCCGAACCTGATGTATTTATCGGTCTGTTCCTATTTGATGTATTTTACAGTCTAAATGCAGTATAGTATTTTATTGTTTATTCTTTGGTTACGTATGCATGAATCACTATTTAATCTATTATGGTTTGAATTATTGTGAACCCGATGTTGTGTTGCCTTATTTGGCGTGCGTTACTGGTTTGTGTATTCATGTTGATTGGGTAATTGAGACTAAGAAAAATAAGGATTGTATATGAATTTATGAACAGATAAGTCGGCAGCCTCACTAGATATCCTGGGAGATGGTAGACGGACCGGGTCCATAGGGGACCCTACGGGGAACGTGATCTCTCATATCGGACGGGGTTGGAGACTTTAAATATTTTAGCACTCATACCAGACGGGGTATGGAGACTTTAAATATTTTAGCACTCATACCAGACGGGGTATGGGGATGGCCCGCTTCACCCTCATACCGGACGGGGTATTGAGGTTTATGGTTTTGTCGCTCATACCAGACGGGGTATGGGGACGGCCCTGGAATTAAGGTGAATGGTTCACGTGTAGCGGGGACCCCTATGGATCCCCATGGATGCTAGTAGGCTGATAAAAGAGAAAATTTGTTACTTGACGATTGAAATACAAAAGTATGATATGTGTTATGTTATACAGTGTGCATGATCTTATAATGTTTATAATGTTATTGTTTTCATGAATCTCACCGAGGTAAGTAGACAATAAAGAGTTTTATTATTGATAAATGAATTTGTTATGAATTATGCTATATTGGTCGTTTTTGTTTTCTACCAATCTTTACTACTGTGACAGTGAGATAGTGTGACATCTTTACTGGATTAGTGTAGCTCATTACTTATTTAACCATTTCAGATCAGGAGAACTTGGTTCCCAAACCCGTTCCGCAGGAAAACGGCAAATAGAAGCCTAAAAATTTATTAGTTTTCCTTATAGTATTCATTCATAGTATTTCCTTCAGTTAGTTTATTCTTTCATATCTTTAATACATTTTAATTATTGTGTAAGGGATGTTAATCATAATCCATTTTATTTCGCTTCCGCACTTAGAATAAATATATACATTTCTTTTTAAATTTCCGGGGCCGTTACAGGTATTCTCAACAACCTATTGTAGATTTTGGAGATACTTTTGCACATCTGATACGATATGAAACTAAAGGCTACTATAGACATTAGTAGCTCAACAAAGATGATAAGTATTTCATCTTGATGTAGAGTCTGTATTTCTAAATGGAGAATTATATAAAGAATTATATGTTAAACAGCTTGAGTGGTTCCAAATTGAAGGCAAGGAGAATTATGTGTACAAGCTTTTATATGGCCCTAAGCAGGCCCTAATAACATGATACAGTAAGCTGGATACTCATTTTATCAATTGTAGTTTCGTTAAAAGTGAAAACGAACATACTTAATTTGTTAAAACTGCAGAGGTTGGAAAATTTATTGTTGTTTATATTTACGTAGATGATTTGCTAATTACATGAAGTATTTTTATTTCTCAAAGGAATTATGATAAGGAATTACTAAAAAATTTTAAAATATAAAGTAGCAAATTAGTAGCTACTCCATTAGTTTTAAATTAAAAGCTGTCAAATAAGACAAAGACAAACTTATTGACTCAAAATTCTATAAAAGCTTGGTGAGAAGTCTATTTTATCTCACAGCTACAAGACATGATTTATTATTTATTACAAGTGTTCCATCATAAGTCATGCAAGATCTACGTCAGAAGCATCTTATTGCAGTAAAAGAAGGTCTTGAGATATGTTAAAGGAATTGATGATTATGATATGAACTATACACAAGCAAATAATGAAATTCTTGAAAGTTTTTCGGTCAATGATTGGACAAAATACCTGATGATTTAGAAGCACAATTGGATGTGTCTTTACTTTTGGTTCAGGAGAATTTTCATGGATGTCTAATAAGTAAGAGGTAGTTGCACAATCAACAACAGAACTGAAATACATAGTTGTTGTCGCTGCTATTAATCAGTCTTATGGTTGAGGAAGGTATTGGAAGATTTACTACAACCTCAAGATAATCTAACAGTAATCAAGGTTGATAATCAATTAGTTTTATGCATGGCAAAGAATTCTATCAATCATGGTCAAACCAAACATATTCAAGTAAAATATCATATTATCAAACAAGTGCAAAAGGAAGACGATAGTTGTTTAACTCATTGTCGTTCAAATGATCAACTTGTTGACATATTAATCAAGTCGGGGAAAAGGAAGGTTCGAGGAACTAAGGGCTAAATTGGACATGTCCAAGAAAACTCTTAAGAAAGAGTATTAACCTATTAAAACATTTTTTAGTTCAAAACAGTACATGAAGGAATTTTTAGATGTATTTAAGTGCATAAATTTTAGAGTAATATTTACGTATAGTTTACCATATGCATGTATCTTCTTTCCTATATAAACCTCTTTACCATTTTGAACACAATTTAAGTTTCTATTTGTACTTTCTTCTTCCTAAATATATGTATCACGTTATTAAATAATTTATTTATTTTCTTTTTAAAAATATTAAATTACTTAAAGTATAATATAATTTATTTATTTATTTAATTTTTTCCAAAAAAAAATTAAACACAGACCACAAATGCCGCTCCCCTGCTCTGCCATTCCCGAAGCCAGTCGATCACCATTTTCTCCTCCTAATGAATAAAAAAATGAATCCTAACTTGTTTGTACTAAAACTAAAATTGGAAAGGAAATTGAGGAACGTACCAAAGTTACCCTTGTCATCGTTTAGACAGAACAAGCTCTCCATATAACTCGCTGGGGAGAGGGAAGGTAATCAGATCTCTCTGGCCTTCAAAGAAGAAAATTCTATTTGGTCAAAGCTTGGCCCTAGAAATGGAAGGCTAGGACAAAGCATCAGAAGCAGAGGAGCGGAGCCTACTGAAACTAGTCTCGCCATATTAGTAACGGACCCTTACTGCGGCCTCTACTTTGCATCTTCAAATTATTTCCAGGGCAACTAATCAGTTTTTCTTGCCTAATATAATTTTTATAGCTATATACATATTGTTCATTATGAAGAAGAAATTATATATAAATAAAAAAGTTCATAAAGAAAATGCAAAGCAATCATCGCAGTCTAATTTTTTATAAAAAAAAAATTATGTAGAACAAATTAAGTGGAAAGAAATAAATTATATTTGTACAAAAAATAGTATAAAAATCATTTTACTTGAACAAAAAAATTATAAATAAAAAAATTACAGCAAAAAAATAATTAATCAATAACTGATACATAATTATCAATATTATCAAATCAAATAAATAGATAATTAAAATTTATATAAAATTGATTTTATTATAATATATTTGAAACTTATTTTTATCTTTAAAAAATTAAATAAACAATTAGTACATTTATATTGTTATATTGAATATGAAATAATTTAAAAAAATATATAAGAAAAGAATTGACATTTTAAATTTATAATTTTATTTGGTGCACATAGAGATCAGATTTGAATTAAGATACTCCATCAGGCAGCATCATTCTCAGATAGCCAGGTTCCTGGCAACAATTTTCCCACTTCATTCATGACTGTTACCAGTATCTTGTAGTAAGCCTCAATACAGTATGCGTTAAATAATAACTCAGAAAAAGAGGGAGAGAAGATTATGAAGAATTAGAGCTGGACTTCATTTTCAAAATTTCCTGGTCAAAATATTTTTCAAAGTACATTCAAAACTTTTCCTTGGTTTTCGACCTTCTTGGTTTCTTTTTCTGCTTCATGTATTCTTCGTATAACTGCAGGGATGCAGTAGCTGCATCCAATTCACTCCGCAATCTCTCTTTCTCGGCAATGTCACGAACAAGTATGAAATGCTCAGCGAGCTTCTTGCTCAACTCTTTCTCATCAACTGAACATTCAGTAGCATTAGAAGACATGGAAGATACAGTAGCTTTTGTTCTCTTGTTTGATCTTACGATACCATTCTTTGGGTTGAATGGTTCTCGTTCCAATGACAAGTCCATAAACGCCTGTTGAGGAGATACAGTGGAGAGGTAAACTTGATTATGAGACGTGTTCATGGTTGAAATGGTGGACCCCATGGTTGAAATTGCTGGATGATAATGCTTGCATAAGAGATTCAGTTCCCAAAGGACAGAAGCAAGTGCACCACTCAAATTGGGGTCTGTGGCATATGGCTGATATTTCTGCATGTCAGACCAAAACAGATCTATTAGATTAGCTGCTGGCAAATAACTCCGGAATTTCAATTAATTGGGAACCGTCATCCAAGGGGCTACAAAACCAGAATCTTGTTCCACGTAAAATATGCATATTTTTTGTTGAGGATGCACCTAATATACTGTCATGGCTTCATACGTAATTTATGATTGCATAAAAGACAAAGAAAAACGTCTAATGTTTACGCAAAAGACAAAGGAAAACAATTTATAGTGATGTTCAACCGTTTGAGGTTTACAGCAAGAAAACTGAAGCAGAGTGTAATTATTTTGTCATGGTAAACTCAGTTTCTTGAGTGGCTTCAGCAAGGATTGATCCCAAATTCAAAAAAATTAACTATTGTCGGTTGCAGCCACACAGGCACACATGCTACATATCTTACAAAATCTTCCTTGCTCAAATTATAGTGTGATATTTCCTTTTGACCCTTTTAAATGAATGGGAAAATTTATACATTTACTTTTGCAAGTTGTTCTTTAACTAATCATGACCATGACCCTTTCTTAATCACCAGAAAACAAGAAAACAAAAGGAGCATACCGCAATTGAACCAGACACTGAGCCACCTCCTGCATCATTTTCCAATAGATTCCGGCACTTGACATTTTTCCGAAGAAGATTCTTTAAAGTCACCAAAGCTACAAGATTTGCAAGAGTGACCAGATAATCAGTTCATAAGCAGAAAATTAGAAGTATACAACTGCAAGTTCAGAAATTATAATACCATACCAGCCATGGATTCCGCACACCCGAAGAATAATGAGAATGTGGCCAACCGTTTTACAAATGCAGCGGCTTTTTGCATGTCATGTTGCCTATCGTCACACAACATAATCTTCAAAGCCTCAGCTAACACTTCACCTTGGTCTCTGTCACAAACACAGTAAAAGATACTGTTAATGATGTGTTCAACCATTACCTTGCCAAAACGATCAAACTTTAACAAATCTATCCTAAAAAAATCAACATTTACCAAACCCATTCAAGAATATCAACCTTTAACAAATCTACCAAAAAACAAAACCATTAACAAGAACTACAGTTCCTGCTTATTCACCAAATGACCACGAGAGAAAGAGACAGAGAGAGAGAGAACTGAAAAATAAACCACTACAACAGGGAGTAGACATAGTGAACCAAGATTGCTAGGTCTCAAAATAGAGTGACAACATGCATAAAGCACACAAACTAAAAGAGTGAAATAAGTGTGGGATGAAGATTATAACTTGCATTGGAACTGCTTTTAGAATTAAAAAAACAAATGGAACAGGAATAATTAGTCAAAATGATTCCATTAGATTCAAGGATCTCACTCTCATGTTGGATATGAATGTGAAAGTGTTCAAAGATGTCTTCCACATTTAATCGCAATATGGAAAAGTCTTTGAGAATAAATAAAGTTGTGCTTACCTTCCAGGTCTATACTCAAGTATAAGATTGTAAAGCTGGACAAAGAATTCCTGTAGGTCCACATTCAAGGCATCAAGATTGCTCCTCATCACTTTAAAAGCAACAATGCAGCAGTGGAGACGTTCAGATACAGTCAATTGTTTTAAACATTTCTGGGAACTGTTACAGCTGCTATTTCCAGAAGCAAGCCTTTTCAGATAATTCATAAGATCACCTATGTAATCTAAGTCAATCAGATGAGACAATTTTCCTAATCCATTCAGACATGGAGCAAGCAATGGGCGTGACCCAAATGTACCAGCAGTTAAATTAGTATCTGCTTCTAAACTGCACAACATAAGAAGCGAAGTAAGCAAACGATTAAAATAAATAAACACAGTTTTTTTCAATCACTTAATTATGATCCAAAAAAATCTAGCTTTCTTATCCCCCGTCTGATTTTTTACCAAACATTTTTCCAACCATCAATGCCAGATATAGTGGA